AGCTTGCAACCAGAAGTGATGTGTTGTATAGTTTCTGGCATGATGTGACATTTTCTGCATGTGTCATTTGTGAGTGTTGTATCTTTGAGTGTGTGTTTTGTGTAGTTTTTAGTATTTACGACCTGATCCTGTATGGCAATCATAAATCCTTCCGTCTCGCGAAAGAAGCATCCCCGAGCTAACCAGCTATTTGACGCAGTTTTGTCAACAAAATCCTGGGCTAGGTCATAGCGATGTCTGCCATAGAGTGTTTTTGGAACCGACGATTGCTTAAGTGTCTATGCATTTTATATGTTCTGTCTTGTCCATATGATGCAAATGTAAGTTTAATGGTGATTTCATTTGAGTCTGCTAGACTTATTGTTTTATGTAACTGTGATGTTGCTTGCTTTTGTAGAAAAACTCTCGCAGTGCTCTTGTAGTGAAGGTTTACTATATCAATCAGACCATGTCCTCCATCTTTACGTAGAAGGGTTAATCTTTCTATGGCAGATTTAAGATGACGTTGTTTATGTTTAGTAAGCGTTGTTCTTGTTTTTATTTGGAGTTGCTCGAGATCTGTGTGAGTCCAATGTATAACTCCAAAAGAATAAGTAACTACTGGGACGACATATGTGTTTATTGCTTTAACATCATTTTATTTCATCAGTGAATGAAATACAAGCGTAAGAAACACGACAACTGCAAAAAAATATATAAATAAAACTTGAAATTAATAGAATATGTAAAAGTTCAAAAGTTTGTGTAGTTTTTAGTATTTATGACCTGATCCTGTATGGCAATCATAAATCCTTCCATCTCCTGAAAGAAGCATCCCCGAGCTAACCAGCTATTTGACGCNGATAATAAAATTTAAACTAAAAGATATTTTTAAAAATTATTTATTTATTCTCAACTCATGTCTACAAATACAATGTAATAAAATAAAAATTTGAAATGGTTTTCATAATGAGAATTTGATATAAAAATGAAGAATTTTTATGTTTAACATCAGAAAATCTCTATCCAAATTAGAGTTATAAATGATATTTTATTATTTACTGATTTAAAATAAATGTTATCAATACAATAAGCTTTCTAATAAAGAAAATACATCAATTAAATGCATAAAAATAAGTAATAAAGTACAGCATGTTCATGTTACGTACAGATTACTTTTAGATACTTTATCCCTGTATAAGTCTATGGACAAATGATCTAAAAGTAACTTCTACCGTAATTTCAATATGGATGATTAAATAAAAGCATTTGCATATATTTTTACTTATATTAAGCTACCTTATTTTTAACAGTTTCTTCTGTTTCGTTTTCTTCATTCTGAGACTTTGATTTGGAGATGTTATCCATTTTTTTTTTATTATTATTATTTAATTAAATCCAGAATAAAATTCCATTCTGCCATGATGCTTCTGTCCACTAACGTCGATAACAGTACTCCTGGTGGAATATTTTGTTGTTTTGTTTTCAGAAAATAATAATTTAAAATCTATGTGGATTTAATATATAATATACAAAATATATATTTAAAAATTCGTAGAATTATTTTAAAAATAGTTAAGAATTTATTTAGATTAATATTTCTTCTATTCTGTAAGTTTAAGAATGTTTTTAGGCAATGTCGTTTATGCGGGGATTCTTAGCTGCTTAATCCTCATTTAAGAAGAATTTAATTTATTTAATTTAAAATAAAGTGGTGCCTCGTATAACGTACGCCTCGAATAACGAACGCTGCGAACAACGGACTTTCCGTTCGGCAGTTACGTGAGGCGAACAACGGACTTTCTGCGTACAAGTGCAAATGATGCTTCCACTCTTTCGCCGTTGCCAATGACAATCTGCTATTTTTATAATATATTAGTATTATTAGAATATATTATTAGTATATCTGAAGTACAGAGGAATAAACAAGGAAGCAAGCCGAATCCCGTTGGGNCAGAAAGGTGATTTAAATTGAAACAAAGCAAGAAATCATCAGAAGGAGTGAAAGTTAACAAAAACTTCTTTGTCAAATGGGGAGAGGTTCAGGACTTTACCAACACTCATTATCCAAACAGAGCTGAGGCCAATAGGATCAATGATCTCTACAATGATACCCTTGCCCGTCATTTCCGACAGGTGTTGAATAAGAGAGAAACAGACCACCTTGGATATGTTTTTCAAAAAGCAAACTGCCAAAAAACAAAGGATGGAACAAGAGGAGTTGACCTGCAAGCTCCGGTAGCCTCTCCTGAATCTGACTCCGATTAAAAACAAAAAAAAAAGACCTGCTGCAATGTTTAAAAAGTCTATCTGTAATAATGTGTGAAGAACGTGTTTTTCCACCTCCTCCTCACAACATCTGACTACCCGGCATAATTCGTGACTGCTCCATTTTCATTTTTTTTTTATTGTACAGTACGGTTATTTTACGCTGCGGAACGAATTATATGTTTTAATAAAATACGTCATAATTTTAACTCTAAACAAAAAAAAATGAATAAGTCTAAGCCGATCTTCTACTCGCCAATCTAAACGTAGCGAACACCATTATCGAACTATTTGGATGCAGATATCTACTAGATATCTGCATCCATAATTTTCTAGTATAATAAGTCCTGTTAATATATAATAAGTACTAGTATACAAAATAAATTATAAATAGTTAAAAAGGACAAAAAGGCATAATAATTAACCATTATAGAACGTATAGAATTGCCAGATGGTGGCGTTCATCCGTCCGCCGTTCACGTTTTTTGGTCTGAATATGACGTCCGCAACCTCTCTATTGGCATATTTGTTCTCATATAAAAAGTATATTGACAGTCAAAACTTTCTCTTAAGAATGCGGCGCATGCTAAGCTACCCCTGAGAATTCGCCCCTGATTATGGATAGAAATTAGCGTATTTTTGTGATTGTACTCACAGGTTACTTGTGTTTAAATGCCAACTTAAAAACGATGAGGATTATAAGATTGGCGGTTATATTTTAAAGTATAATATAAAGTATAACAGCGGTCAAGCACAGAGGAATTGCCGAAACTACACGAAAAAATCTTTCTTACACGATATTTTTAGGCTCGCAATTTCAAACATTTTGCAAAATTCTGGTGAGTTTAGTTGTACTACTATAGAAATTTCGACTGGAAACTGTCGCTGTTATACAAATATGAGATTTACGTAATACTTTATCACAGATAATGATTTTGTTTTATATTAATATTACTCTGTGCCTAATACACCATGTCAAATTCAATAAAGTCTCGAACTGTAGCTAACGTGTTCTTTATTCTTCATGTGAACTTTTTCTATTTACTTTCCTGTAACTATTCTTCTTATGAACTTTGTAAAAATATGCTTAAAGTCTAGCAATAAGTAAATGAATCTTATTAACTTACAAAATATCGCAGGTGTACCAAGGATTTAATTTTGTATTTAACCCTTTTAAACATTGCAAAATCTCACCGGGATCTTTATGAAAATTTTATTAGTGAACTGAGCTGCGATTCTAGCTTTTTAGAGGAAAGAACCGGGATAACATCGAGTGGAGGAGAGGTCGTGGCGATACAGAAATGGAGAGCCACAAATCCACTAATAATTAAACTAGATATTTATTCAGACACATAGATTACGTACAATGCATACAAATTACTATAAAAGCTAACAAGACTACGTATAACGACTCTAGATATATTGACTAAATACAAGTCGACCCCCGCTATAACACTGTTGATAATTCTGTTTTATATGAATTCTATGTTGTAGGAGTCACTTAGATTTTACAAATACGTGTGCCAGGCTGTGAACGGCTCACGTATTTGTAAAATCTAAGTGACTCATACAAACATGGAATTCATATAAAACGGAATTATCAACAGTGTTATAGGGGGGTCGACAGTACTGTAATTCGTATAATCATCCGTTTTGCATTCTGTACTTTTCTGTCATCTGGGTGACGAATTTTTGGTTTTATGTTTATCTCTTTCTAGAAATGAACGGATCAATGCACTTACTTGCTTTACTAGCCTCCATACTTTTACATAATCTGGGGTTGTTCACTGTCTTGTTTCGCATTCACAGTAAGTATTCCTGTTAACAAGTTATTTTTCCAAAAGCTAATTTCTTACTTTTTAGATGCAGAATGGTTTTCAAGATATTCGTTAACTCGCAGATTGTAGTCTTAAACTGGAACAGAAACTTAAGGTATATATATTTATCCATGAGTAGTGGATGCATTGAGTCTTGGTAAAGTTATAATAGCTTCTTACATGCTAAAATATAATAAATTATGGTCATATTATGGTCAGAAATGATATATTTCAACACCGGTTAATATTTATTGAAATAAAATTGAATCAACTAACATTGTTTACAACTGTTCATTGCATTTGTTATTGCGATTATTGTTTATTTCGTTTTGTAGATTTTAGATTTTATGAAAAGATTTGGGAAAGTTTCCTTGTGTCTTTCAATCCATGGTTTCTTTGATGTAGATAAGAAAATTCTTTTTAAGGTTATTTCAGTTTATAATCATATAAGCATTTATTAAATACTTTTTTTTCGGGAAAATTAGAAGAGAGTTTTAAATTTTACTTTAACTTCATATAAATTAATGTAATTAATTGATAACGGTAATGGTACCGACGACAATTATATGTTTATCACTTTTTTCATTAAATAAGAAAACAAATGCGCCTTAAAATTAATAATTTCCACAATGGATCCGCTCTAAATTGGTTCCATACAAACTCTTGGTGACTCAGTTGACAAGAGAAGTTGTCCATTGACATATGAGAAAATAACTAAGAGATTTGACAGTTTGAATCAGAATTTCTGTTTTCGACTATCTTGTTTATGTTTGATTGACTAATACGTAAGTTATGAAACAAACTATTTCTCATCTCAGCGCTACAAACTCAGTCTGCTCGAGTTCCTGCTTTATTCTTTCTGTAACTACTAAAGAGATGGAGACAGATCATTTTGGATTACAGAAGAGATGCCCCGGAAAACTGTCGATTCTTTTAAATGATTCTCTAATAGTGGATCATTAAAGTAGTTTCCTTTGTTATGAGAAGTATCTGACTCGACGTAAAATGCCGTACATACTTTTCATTCTTGTCTTTATGATCGGAAGTTAAATTTGGAATCTCAGGGCATGATCTATTATTTCTCACAATTTTAATTTTTTCGGCTACATTTCTTCTAGAAAACAGTTTCTGTAACAGGTCACTGATTATACAAAACTCTTCACGTTCCATAATTAGCCCACTACTTACGACAACGTACGTAACTCACAACAATTCACAATTTAGATTTGAAAGTACACAATACATGCATGCTGACTGAGTACCGCAAGCTTTCGATACAATTTGGCCGTGTTAAATGTTTCGAATGACGTCATGCGCTTGCACTTGTTTGCTACGGAAAACCTCCGCATCACTTGCTAAAAAATTGAATAATTAAATAATTTCTGGATTAAAATCGTCTGTTTCTTTACAATATTATTCGTAAATGCTTAAAAAAATCATAATTTTAACTCTAAACACAAAAAAAAAAATGAAGAAGTTTAAGCCGATCGTCTACTCTCCACGCTAGACGTAGCGAACGCCATTATCGAAAGTACATAATTTCAAGATGGCGGCGGTCATCTGTCCGCCGTTCACGTTTTGAGCTGAATAGGTGCGCCTCAACCTCTCTATTCTGAAAAATCGCCGGCGCAAAAATTCTTTACATACAAAATAAGCTTTATTTTTGCAGACGATGACGTACGGATTGATGCGGAAACCGAGACACATAATTTAATAACGAACTCCGAAAAGACTTTGACTCGACTATTTTTTCTTTACTGATTTAATTTGCAATATTTAAAATACGGGCTTATAAATTTATAAACGAAATTATATTTTGCATATGACGTCACGACCGATGACGTTTTACGAACGTCATCGATCGTGACGTCACACAACAATGTTAATTTGTCTATTGTTGATTAATTTGTTGGATTGGCAAGCTTCGTGGAGTCTTTTTCGGACATCTTCAATTATCTTCGGCAGATTTACTTAATCAATCAAAAGTAGAAGATAAAAATGAAGATAAAAGGTTAAATTTATAATTTATATATTTATAACACGATTAAACATTACGAAATTCCGAAAAAACATTTGAAAAATCGGGATTCTAAATTCTAATTTCAAATTACCATTTAAGTAAAGTTATTAATGCTTTACTATTTAATTTTATTAATATATACGATGGATTTAATTAAATTTTATTATATTAATGAAGGAGTTTTAAAATTGATAAATTATTTCATTCGAAGATTAGAAAATAACTTTTCCAATTAATAATTGGTAAATTCCAAGATGGCGGTGCAAGTTACCGTTTCGAATATCCAGCGATTTTATAATAAAATCGTTCCGGATTTGAAATATTACAGTAAAATATT